GCGTTTTTTTTTTTTTTTTTTTTAGAGTGGCGGGGTATTCTGCAATTACTCCCTTCGTCGCGCGCGGTTCGTAATCGTGACGCCACTAAAGTTTAAACCACGCCCACTGCACAAGATACACGACCATGACACAGGTACGTTAGTTGCGGTCAATTGTCGTTATTTTTTCTTTTGATTTTACGTATCGAGTCACAAAAATTTGCAGTCTGAAATGTCTGAATTTAACATACCTTTATGTATTTTGTGTCTTAACTCCTTACTTTCAATCGTCTGATCGTATTAAGAATTGAAGCTGACACATACAGCCTCGTTTTCAAACGTGGGAGTGCGCAGGTCGACGCTAAAAGTGTCGTTTTGGGATCCCTCTATAGGGATCCCTCTATTCCTCATGGGTTTTCCTCCCACCTCTTAAACAGTGACTGCTTCTCATTGCCTGCTCACAGGTTTCTTGAGGCTTACAAGCTACAGTGCCTAGGGCACTTTAATTTTGTGGAATCCTTGGTTTGAATAACAACAATGATAACCAAACTTAGTGCGGGGTGCCAAAAATTTTTTGGGTGGCCAAGTTTTAATTGTTTTTATAAAATAAACTGTTGTGCCTTTCTTAGAAGGTATGCGCCAGCTAAAATTTTTGGGGTTTTGCACGTTTTTTGGAGGAAGGAAACTGAAATAGTCCCCCAGATCGCCCTACTCTCATTATTTTTCGACGAAAATCTCGCAGGGGGGGGGGACAGGGCCCCTGCTACCCCTTAAGATAAGGCAGGGGTAAATGAGTCAATCACGCGAGAATATAAGGTATCAATCCGCGCATTTGTGTAGTCTAGTAGGTCAGCATCGACTGATATGACTAAACGTTTGCTGGGTACAGTCACCATGCACTCGACTCGACTCAAGTTCGACTCGAGGAGCAATTTTTGGCGACTGGACTCATGTCATGACGGGTAAATGACTCGACTCAGTCACTGCGAGCAAATGAGTCGACTCGATTCGAGCCCGTCGTCAGGAGACTCGACTCAACTGAACACTCGTATCTTGTGCTTCTGCACTATATAGCATTTTGTAATACTAACCGGAACTGTAAAATGTATTTCTCAATTCAGGGTGTCATCCTTATTCGGGTGATTTTTTTTTTATTGATTAGGAACTTGGGGGAAGGCCAGCTAAATTTATGATTTCACAAAAATCCTGCCCTGATTTTAAAACATGGCGAATACAGACCAACAATTGAAATATTCAGAAAGAGATTTCACGGCGTTGTCAGTAGTCAGGGAAAAACTATAGACCAGAAGCCAATCCAGATAATAAAATCGAGTTTCACTTCTATTATCTGCGAACCAGCTTTACAGGTCCCCCGTCCTGCGGTTCTAAAGCGGACAGGCAAATGTCGTGTGTGAAGTTTGAACGCCGCGTTATGGTGAATGTGAGTTTGAAAGTCGTGTTTTTGAATTTGATCGTCGTGTTTGTGAGGGGTCAGGGGCAATTTCATGAATCATTAGCATGATTTGTTTCCCTTGATAAAAAACAGGGTTAACAACCAAAATGTCCATGTGTTGTATACTGCCTGAGATGGTGTTCAGCTGATGTTCGCTTATCATAGAAATGCCCGGATTTTCGGCTGGTAACCTGTTTTTCAGGACGATAGTACTGTGCTGAGCCAATTTTTGTGCTAAGCAGCTTCGTGAAATTGGCCCTGACCACTCACAAACACGACGTTCAACCTCAAAAGCACGACGTTCCAACTCACAAACACGACATTCAAACTCACACGACGTTTGCCTGTCCGCTTTAGAACACCATACTATCCCAATAATTATTAACTAAGAAAAATAACAATAATAAGGTGTCCGGGGATTATGTAGGGAACGGGAACCAGTCTTTTTAAAATTATGTTGAAATTCGACTCGAATTGATTCGACCAAAATACTTGACTCGACTCGACTAGTTCTTACCTATCGACTCGACTTGAGTCATTACGTTAAATGACTCCACTCAACTCAAAGCATAACATGTGGTGACTTGTTACAACTCGGTTGTCACGTTTGTTGCCATGGTTTCGTTCCTCATCTGAGTCATTTTGCCAGTCAAGATTGGCCGCATTCGGGGTAGGGTACAGAAGAATTTCCAGGCACAAATCCAGGGGGGGGATTGGGTCGCCCCCCCCCCGCTGCTCATTGCCGATTTGTGTTTCTTCTGAAGGTGTATATAGACCCCCTTAAACCATAAACCATGTAGGGTCTATTTAGTTTTGCGTGTACTGTTAAGATCAACGGCGAAAACTACGTGTATTACCCCTCCTTGTACGACCCCCCCAATCCTGGATTGGCCCCTGATTTCTAATTCAGTTTTAAAGCAAATTAGTGCTCTTATCCAAATTAAAAGATTAACAAATGAACATAATTATCGTATTATTTGCCTCACATGAATAAAGAAGGCAGCGAGTTTGTGTTCATAATCTTTGGACATCATACGCCTGCACGAGCTATCAGAAAGCCTAAGTGGGGCCAATTATAAATGCAAATAAATGCAAAATACTACAGTCCTCATTCCAAACGATATCAGCATTAAAAGCGGAGACGAAAATGAACGGTAATCCAAAAATCGTCACAAAAAATAACAATTTAGTTGCGATATCTATAAAGACAAGACACGATGAAACGAATTGCTGTGAAGCAGTAGCGTAAATTCGGGCTGGGAACGGGGGGGGGGTTGTACCGTGATGTGGGGGATGACTTGACCGGCCTTGGAAAGTAAGTATCGGCTCCGAGCAGGAACAAAAGAGCGCGTGTTTTTAAATGAAATTGACAGCCGCTTGTATGGTACTGCTGAACCTCGAATCAAAAGGCGTATTATGCATGAATTCTTAAAAACTATTCTCCCTCTTTTAGTATCAATGAATACATTTTTCTGTTGTTTGTAAATCCAAAAATTCTCCACAATTCGCCTTATTTTTTTCATCACGAAAAAGTAGGGGAAAGGGGAAATGATTCAAAAGCCCATCTCCCCGATCAGAAAGTACGAGGAGAGATAAGTACCCCATCCCCCAGGGGTTACGCCCATGCTATGAAATGACTATGTTGTCGTATTTTTGTGTTCTTTTACGCAACGCAAGTTTGATTTCCCCCAGACAATCACATAATGAGATGGAAACAAGCCTTTTTTAAAATCTCAAACATTGCTTTATGAGAGGTGTGCCTCAGCTATTAAACATATTTTTAAAGCTATACTGCGGGAGAGTTGAAATTTGAAGGCGTGCGGAGCTAGCTCTTCAGGGCTATACAGTTTCTGGCTTCGCGTGCAACATTCTTAAAGGACACTGTGTAGAAGCACTTTTGATGAAAAAACGGCACTTAAAAAAATGACAATCATCGTTATCGCTGGGTATTACGTCACGATCTAGCAGTTACGTCATTGTGGAATATTGTTGATATGTACCCAATGGGTTTTGCTCCAGTGTTAACTTTAAGTCTGCTACCGCTTTCCGTTATCGTATACCGCGCATAATTGTAAATAGGCCTTTTTACGACAACATCATCAAAAGTATACGTCTCCTATATTAATTATACGTTTTCTTTGAGTACATCGTGGATGACATTTCATTTACTTTGCTAAGTAGGGTGATTTCCCAGGGGAATCCTAACCAGAATGCACCGATGATTAGATAGAAACCATTTCAATATAGTTCATTATGTATTCCTTGCATACAAGCACAATTAAATCTTAAAATCTGCTTTTTTTATTCATTATCTACTGCACGTCTTCACTTGCTGCTGGTTTGTTGGAAGGAATTATCGAATTCAAGAAGGACATCGACTGACAATGGATCGTATGAATAAAAACTACCAAATGCCCTTAAGTTCGAGCAAACAGCAAAAGCATTTACTCAGAAGTAAAACCATTAAGAATAAGCAAATGCTTGTACGAATAAAATGTTTCTTTTACTATTCAGCATCCACTTGTATAAATATTAGCAAATGCCTTATGCTTGTGGCTGACTGCACTGCCGAATGGCTTTGCACAATAGGGCTTCCATTATTTGCACGAACATCTACACGTACGTACATGTACAGACACACACAGTGTAACTGAAGCGCCGTATCTTTGAGACTTCGGCATGGCAGATGAGCATAATGGCAGTAATTTTGATCGCAAAAACCTTGAAGAATATTGCTTTGCCGCACTCAAATAGGTACAACTGCCTTCATCTGGTTTCTTGAAATCCCCTCCGAAAGGCATACAGCGTTTCCTTTCGAATGGCATTCATGAACGCTGCCAGTTTGAACATTAGTAAATGCTCCTCGTTTTCAAGCTTGCCCTGACCCAGTCTTGAAAAAGTCAGGTAAATACTCCAATGCTGTAGAACTTACTCAAAACGAAGCAACTGCTGTTCTATAAACCACCTTGTTGACATTATGCATGTCAAGCACAAGCTTAAAGAGTAAAAAGTAAATACTTTTACTTTTTAGCAGTTGCACTGAAGTAAAAGCATTTGCTTCGTTATTACTTATGCAAACACGAGTAAATGCTTTAAAAATGGTAGCACATGTAAAAGCAAATGCTGTGTTTTATTCATATGACCCAATATCACGGAATAGATTGACAACAATATCAGTATAGACTGATATGAAGGGCAGATCCAGAGGGCAACAGCGGCCACACCCCATCCCCAAAAGAACGCATTTTTCTATTAATGAAAGAAATGCAGCTTTCCCTTCCTTCAAAGTGTGTAAACAACACCAAACTGTAGCCTCGATCGCCAATAAGGCCATTAAAGGTTACCTTTAAAAACAGCAACATTTTGCTCTCCCCAATACCCGCCGCCGAAAATTTGGTTCCGGATCCGCCGCTGGGTATGCTTGGTGTATTATACACACGATGCTCCTTGCAATGGACGGCAAAATACATTTTCTTTCATCGAGTTCGCGAATTAAAGTCCCACCAAAACTATGAATAACTGTGCTATGGTTGCATTTTCTTGTCCAACATTTCTTACCGATTAAAATTATTATTATTTTATTATGTTTATGGGGGAGGGCTTTGAACAGAGGAAAACCAACTCTTCCCTTTTTTCCAAAACTTGCACTGTTTAATAACTGTATACTGAACCTATATAGGCTACATCCCAGGCCGGTGATAGCGTGTATAGCGTTATCACCGTATCCCAAGCTTTAAAAATGATATTTGTAATCCCGGTATATTAATGGACCATAATTCATTAACCTAACAACGAATTTACGGCTAACTTGCAGAAACACCCTGTTTTCCTAAAAAAAAAAATAATAAAAAAATGAAGTACAAAAAGGGGAATTACTTTACCATGATAACTTGTGTAGTCGATGTGCTTCCGTCTTGGCGCTGTTGTTGAGAGGCCTTGTGGTGGAACAGACACGGGATATTTTGTGAAGCATCAGACAGGTAACTTCGTGGTTAATTGGTCCACCAGGGAACAGACAAAACGTTTGCATTTATAGCGCACGAGGTTCGCGCATGTGCAGTAAAAAGTACGGACTTCTAATGGCACTGATTTCTTGGTCTCACTTACATGTACTTTGTTCAGTGTCGTTTTTATTAAGCCACTCTCTTTTTTGTTTAAATACTTTGATCTTATAAATTGTTTCAGACAACAGAGCTTTGTGGCCTCACCCATCTGTGCATATCTTGATACCCCTCGTTCGAGTTACAATTCCCTGACCTTTGTCAATTCTCTAAGCAATTAATCAATAAGCAACTTTGCTCATCAATCTAGTCAGTTTAGGATGCACAACTTGAACAGGATATCACTTTTCACAGAATAACATTACAGCAACACCGTCCTCATTTGTTAGAGAAGCAAAAAAAAATTCAAGTGCTGAAATAAGTGGATTTTTCAAAACAGCTTGCAAAAATAGTTCTCAACCATTATATAAAAGTCGTACAAAGTTCCACAAAATGTGAATCCAAGAAGAAAAATCATCACATGGACAGTCAATACACTAACTCAAAACAGAATTAAAAACTATATAAAAATATTGACGAAAGCGGGATTATTTTCCTTGGTAAGCCCCAGCAGAGTTCTCTTTCTTCGTGATTCAGGTTTTAATTCGTAAGCTCGTGGTGGCAATACGCAAGCTGTACCTGGAAATGAAATGTGCAGAAATTAACGTAATTTGCCCATGTGAAAAGTCATCGAGTTTCATCATGACCTAAAGCTTGAACGCAAAGAACAAATAATACGCTCTCAATATGTACTGTAAATCTCGAGGGACCACGTGTAGAATCCTCGTTATCTAATGTTATACCGGAGATTGCAGTGCTTGTGTTTGTTCCTGATAATTAACAGAGTTGGTCCTTCTCTATGTAATTATGTATAATGAGATCTTTACTTCTGTACCGGAACAGCTGTTGGACATCTAGTGTAGAGGGTTTGCATGGCCGCCATTTTGCAGGCCAATGTTTTTGTTCCACAGGGTATGCACAAAGGAGTTTCCCTGTGGAAAAACCTGTTCTGGATAAAAAGACAAGATGGATACCTTTCAAAGCCCCTAATTCTGATAAACAAAATCATGAAAAATTGTAAGTAGTGCTCCAGGTCAGTGTAGGTAAAAGCCCTGCCCCTTTTAACCCAATTGACCGATCAGAAGCCAGTATTTTGCCTCATTAGCATAAGTTGTGGCGGGATTGAGGAGAGAATGTGATGACGCAAGTGGCCATGAGATAGGAGGCTAGTACTCAGTGGGGACTAGGCAGGTGTCTATTTATGAATATTTTTCGGGGGCGCACAAAAACTCTGTAAACTAAGGAATAGTCACTCCAATTTGCTGTGGACAGACTAGAGGCTGGGAGAGTATTTTTTTCCTAGGAGAGTCAGGGGCATTATGGGCGTGGTTAACTGTAAGTTTGATCGACACTGAAACTGGACACTGAAATTTAAATGCCAAGTTAAATGTATTGAACACATATGACGATCAGCACGGGCAAACACGCCACTTTTGAATTTAGGCTTACAACCATGCAGATGTGCGTTTGCTTTTAGCGTTAAAATAGCACAGTGTGCAAAGTTAGAACATCGCATTGCGCAGGGTTTGATATGAACCTTGCAATATGGTTATATCACATACTGTTTGTTGTCATGGATCGACCAATCAGAACCGAGAATTCAAGTTTATCTGAAGATAATGTTTATAATTGTGTCTGTGGATTGGTCAGAGCCAACCTCATTCCCATGGGTACGTTCCCAATGTGCCCTGCGCGTTCTAAATTGCTAGTAAAGGAACGCGCGCAGCCCATGGAATCGATCGGTTGAATCAGAGTTCAATTAATGAATGGGGCGAGGCATAATCCGTCAGTCTATTTTTTGCTAACCTGTCTCAAAAAAAATGGGCGTTTAGCGAGAACAGTGTGTCCGATGTTCACAACATTGGCGTCCAAATGATTACACAGACACAACTGGAAACACCTTCAGGCAGAGGCGTAAATCTTTGCTGGAAATTGGGAACACACCCCATCCCCCGAGATTTTCGCCCATGCCTTCAGGGTCGGCGCGATATAATACACAACGAATCTCCCATGTGTGCCGGTAGTTTTCCAGGGTCTGCCTGATTTGTCCGAGCAGTATTGAATCTTGGACCTGTATGCATGTTATTTTCCTTGGTAGGTTCTCGAATCAGTATCCAAAACCTCTGCTCTTTAAGTCAAGGATTTAGGCCCTGTGCTTTCAAACAGAAATAATCACCTCATCCCGATGGGACCATGGTACTTCCTTGGTGACCAATAAACAACAAAGCCACAGCCAATTTAGATGTAAATTACATTGTACATCTCCCATGCGGGGTTAATTTGTCAAAAAAAAAAAAACCAAACAAACAACGACAAAACAGCGGGCTGTCGTCTTGGCTGATCCAGCGGTGGTCAACCGGGGCCATGCCCGCCCCTTCAAGTGTTTGTTTAAAAAAAAATTCCAAGATTATTTTTGAGGAAAGAGGCTAAAAATCACCAAAATTTTGTCTCAGTCCCAGAAAGGCCAAAATTTTGGCTCCCTTCCACTTGGTTTTGGATCCACCCTTATCGTCTTGAATAAAATCAAATACATGTAAGCCCAGAGTTCGAACGACATCTACAACAAACTCTCACCTCAAGATATGCTATATGTAGTTACAAAACATTTTTTCACCTAATTTTATTTCATTTCATTCCAAAGACACTTGGTAATTAATTCACAGTTTTCTTTATATACCAAGTAAATGCCCCATGCAACATCCAGATAACAGGTCCAAATCAAATGGCTACGGATGTAAATCTAATACGAGAAAGGCAGAAACGGCAATGTTTGTTGTCTTGCGATTGAGGATAACTTATAAGGAAAACATTCGGCCGAAGCATGCATCACAGCACGGTAAAATCCTCACCCAGGAAAACTCAATCAATCTTTCGGGTAAAAACCGGAGAAAAATGTGTAACGGGACCACCGAGCCTGGGGCTACGCGCCTGATTTGCATAGCCTACAAGTCAAGGCGCAGGTTGCATCCCAGATGCTACAGGGTAACACAAACCACCACGCGCTTTTTGTGATAAATGTAAGAACACGGTGTGCCACGCACGACTTGACTAAAGCCTATAGGCTTCGCATTTGGTGAAAATATACCATTCCATTACCTTTCCGCGAACAGCACTTTGTTCTAAAGCAAAAGGCTACTGTAATGCTTTCAGACACTGAAAGCCCTAAAAATGAAACAACTTTTACGCAAAACAGTGAACACTCGCGAAATGATCAACGGATCAACAGATCTTCCAGGCTATAATTACCATGCATGAAGACCGAAATGTCCTCGCACCGTACAGTCCGTAAATGTACATGTACATCGCACAGGAAAACAAGCTTACTCCGAAAGCCAAAGATTTACTGAAGGATATCAAGCCGTTTTAGACGAAGTTTGGACGTCATTGTACGAAAGCCCACTGCCATGAACCGTACAGTTTCGATACTAAGTGAAGTGTTGGGTTTTACAGGATATCACCCCCCCTAAATTCGTTGTCACTGGATTTTTTTCCAGCGCTCATTTTTACAAGATAATTATTTTCCAATTCTTTTTTACGAGATCTATTTTTCCACACAGAAGCATATCACTGCCAACGTTGAAACGACTTGTATCGTTTCAACGACTTATCTCGTTTAAACGACTATCTCGTTAAATAGGAAAAGTGTTTTCAAGAAGTCGTCTACACGATTTCAAGTTATTTAAAGCTGGTGGTGATACGCTTCTGCAGGAAAAAGATATCTCGTAATAACGATTGCATGTATTTAAAAAATAAACAATATTATTAATCACATCTCGTAAAAATGAAATCGGAAAAAATACACTTCACTTTTTGAAAATGTATAACTTGATGGTTCTACAGGGCCTTCGTATCCATGAAATCTTTTTTCTTACTTCCAGCGCCCCCCCCCCATTTCCTGGGCTGCGGCAGTCATTCTAGGCTGCATTTCAGAGGGGCTGGAATTCACGCTACACCGGAACCCGTACCATCAGTGCACCAATTGAACACCTGCCCGGTGTGTCGGTGTATTTAGTCTGCGTCTAGGTTCCTCTGGACGCCCTGGTCTTTGCAGTCAAATTTTAATTTAGCTTTTAAAGAAATCTTGAAGATTATCATGGGAAGATATACAAGGCGATTTCTGCCACTCCCGAAACTCCACTGCGAAAGGAAGGGACGTCACAATTTAAACAAAATCACACTGCCTTCCATTAACAACAAATGTTAAAAACTATTGTTAAACCCCCACCAAGTTCGATCATTTTTATTTCTCTGCAAGGGTAATACTCGTCTTGTGATCAACATCAGCAATATTGCAAATAGAATTTCTTCCAAGCATCTAATTATACTCCCATCTTTGTACATCATTTGCTTAATACTGATTTTCCGCCCAATCCTACGATTTCTTTTATAGATATTTCTGGCCAAAAGGAAATTTGCACCCTGCCGTGAAAGCTGTGCTTAATATTAGAATTCGGGCATAATTCAAATTCGTTTTTCAGATAAGAGAGTAATTTTGAACCAATCCAAAGTTGAAGGTCTATGCCATTCGTTTTAAGTAATTGTTCATAAAGTGGTCAGTTAGTGATGGCTTATTCGCATGCTATGTTGTATTTTTTGGTTTCATTTCTGTCAATTCTATTTATTACATTGTGCATTAAAACCCAAATATGCTCTGATTTTTGGGGGGGAATTCATGTGAACTACAACTTGCCTTTCCTTCGAAATTAGCAGACTGGTTAGAATCTTCTTTATAAGCATTCATCAGATTGTGACTAGCATTGTTGCTAGAGGTAAATCAGAGATACATGTCTAAAAATGCAAGCTGTTGGATTAGGCTTTAGTGTAAGAAAAAGGTAGCTTCAAGGGGCAGTGGTAAAAGCTGTACTAAAATGAATAAAAAAGTGCCACCTCTCTGCTCAACTAGATTCCGATGTGAAAAAGAACATCCCGAGAGAACAAGTCACCCATGGACAAAGTTGTCATCAACTTTATAATGCAAATCGTCACATATTGAGCACCGATTCGTCACAAATCACCTGGCCTTATGATACAAGCTTGTCAGATGAACTCTAAGGATTGTCCTTTCAGTCTTTGCTTGTTCCTCATCCCCTGTTCCTTGCAACTTGAATCTTTAACTAGTTAATGACCAGATCACAGCTTTGTCAGGGGCTCCGTGCGTGTTGTGAGTTAAACAGGCAAGATGGCCATGTGTACATCCCCCTCCCATTCTCAATGCAGTGAAGTTAACGTTTTCTGGACTCCCCTGTATTTCAGGAAATGTACATGCAGCATAAAATGATGTGGTCTGCTATTTTTCAAGTCAAAGTAAAGCACCAGGGGACCATGACATCCAGTATTGATGAGAATTCAAGAAAACTCATGTGAAAATGGCTTTTTGCCCTCCAGTAAGAATGGTTAAAATGATTTTATTACATCCCATAAACAAGTACAGTCATTAAGATGACTAAGGTTGCATCACATGGCATCTTTTTTTTTTTAAATCAATGTCCAATTAAAAATAGAGGTATTGACACTGAATTGATATATGGTGTTTCTAACGCTGTGTAGAATCTGAGACTGGTGTAGGTTTCTTGTTGGGTCAGTCACAAGTCCCTGCAAGCCCAACACAGGCCATCAAGTCACAAGCTGTGCGACTGAACTGTCACAAAAGCACTCCTTTATCACTGTTCACCTTGTTACCTGTGACTGAACCTGCCGAATGATTTGTGATGGGGCTTGACTATAGCCTAGGGGGACGAGATATAAATCAACTACCGACTGCTTTAAGTTGTGATACGGTGAATCTAATCTCCCTTGGTGATCCGTTGAGCTTTTCATTTTGCTGAAGCAAATCCATTGAGTGCTCCATCTTCTCTCGCCCTTAATTCGTGAAATTAAACTGCTCAACTGATCCCTTCAGGACACAAGCTTTATATGCACCATTCAAAGCAGTCAACATCTATCCGTCTTTCAAACTTGCAACATCAGTGATGGAGTTTCACACAAAATTGTCATTACCCACTGTCCAGTGAGCATATTCAGACCCTGAGGTACAGCTGTGAAAATCAGCCAATTAGAAGAAAAAATTGTTTATACACACGTGAGTGCTTAACTAATGCCATGTCAAGTACGTGCCATTACCCGACGTCATCGTGAAGCACCGTTCGTTGGAGGAACCTACGGGCCAGCTCGTACGTGGTGAAGCTGATCCCGACTGCGATGGGTCCCTTGACCCAGTTCATGCTCAGTCCTTTGTAGAGTCCTCGCACTACGCCCCCCTCGTGATAAATGTCCCTGGCTGTGTTGATGATGGTGTCATAGGTGTATTTGGTGAGCCCGGCAGTCTGCATGCGTCGTCGGACTACGTCTAGCGGGTAGGAGGCTGACTGGCCCACGAGGCCTGCCACGGCTCCGAACGCCATGTTCTGGGGTGACGATGGGTGCGACTTGCCGGTCAACTCTAAGAAAAATAAAAGGATGGGCAAAATTAAACTGGCAAACCTATAGCCATTTAAACAATTTCCAAAAGTACCAAAGGTAGGATATCGATTTCAGACTGCGAACCTATCACACTTTTGTGCCTGAAATACCCAAATTGATCATATGCTTTTTTAGATCATTACAAACCAAAGTAAGAGCCATTCTGGATGGTAAGCACTTTTTAGAAGTTAACTACTTCACGTTTTCTATAGGTACCACAAAACACAGGACAGAAATAAAGTGAATGCCTAGATACACATAAGGGAAAAAAATTCTGCTGGATAACTTTCGGATTGTCAACAATTTAAGAAATACCTGGAGTTTATTGTCAGGTTCTTTGTAAAGTTTGACAAGTCCTTACCTCGATGCTTCTTTTTGAAGGTCTCAAATATGAAGAAACTAATCCCTCCATAGGGGATAACCCCTAATACTGTTGGTAGGTAACCTCGGTAGAAGCTCAAGAACCCTTCCTTTCGAAGTGTCAGGCTAATGATGCTGCCCATGGACTTGTGGCTGGAAAGGTGTGAGGTATAAAAGGAATGAAGGAATTTTCGGTGATCTTGTTTTTTTTTTCTGACCTGATTACTCCTGGAAAACATATCTACTAAATCTCATGAAACAGGAATCAAAAGGAAGACTGGTGATGAGGTTTTTATTTCCAAAGTTATTACGAACAAATGAGGTGCACATGATGCATGACCAGTTTTTGTTCAAATGCGTGGACATGAATGGTACTCTTTGTGTGGATTTGAGCAGAAAAGATGTCCACAAAGTGCAGGCAGTGAAGACATTGCGAGGACTTTTTCAGGTCCACACAAGGCTTCCCTCTGTTCTCATTGCCAAAAAAGTGACTTTTTCTCCATTTTCTGTCAACTACGAAAAAAAGATTAAAAAAAAAAAAAATCACATCAAGTATGTAACACTAACATATGCAAAAATAGTTTGGGTTTCGCATCGGCAACGACTGCACGGCAGAAATGGTGTTCAAATGTCTGTCAAATCTTTTTACTTTGCAACCACGACAGTGACTTAGTAAATGTCTAGAAAAAAAATGATTTGAACCAACTTGCTAGAACGTGAATATATTTGTTTGGTACCTTTGGCGGTTAGTGACAGCCATGCGGGCCCGAACGCAGTCAAGAGGGTATGTTAGCGTCGATGCGGTAACCCCGGCTAATGACCCTGCAAGAAATCTTGGGAATGGCTGCAAACTCCTGACCCAAGAAAGGGGGAAAAGTGTTGACGTGTTATGAAACTCTGCATGTAGTGTCAGGACGAAACAACACTTTTCCAGCAATGTTGGGAGAATAAAAAACATTAAGGAATATATTCATGAGCCTTCATCGCATGAGAGAAATTAGTCAAATTCCTTCAGCTTGAGTGAACGGTATTCAGCAAAAAAAGGAAAGTCTGCATTTTGTTGCTGTGAAGTTCTGTAACTGTGTAGTGTAAGATCAAGTAAATAAGTTATCACAAAGTGTCAAGGAAAATCAATGTACAAAAACAGAATGAATCATGAAACTCTGCTTGAGGGAAAAGTTTCAAATCGCTCAAGTTTCTGTTTTGGATAGTAATTTTGAATGATAGGGACAGTTTTGTATTTTATTGCTCCCTGTCTGAGGCTATGCCAATCACATTGCTGAATTTGATGACTTTTAAATGTGTGGAACTACATGTCCCAAAATGACATATTGATGTGATTCCTAACAATCAGAGTTTTCCTCCAAGTTCTGTTTTATTTTCACATTTGTTACTTTACTCAATCTTGCCAGCTTCAGTCAAGTATGAGTAATGATAGCCGTAGGGCAGCTACACCCGTTCAGTGCAACTGAAAATTTTAAGAGGAGGTCATCTTTACTTACGGTGCTTTGCTGGGATTTAGCAAAATCTTATACTGCTCATGGGAAGCGTACTGAATGGCAGCATAGGGGATTATGCGTGCCATTGTGGCCGAGTTCCCACGCCATAGTGCAACAAGTCCCTCACTGTGGTATACCTTGAGGATGACGTTTAGAGCCTTGCGGGGGCTGAAGTGCATATCAGAGGCTGTGAAACGCAATCAATCAAACTTGTTGTTAGTCGTTAGGTGGGTAATGCTTTTTGTCACAATGCAACACCTATCATAATACTTGCGTCAGAATGTGCAGCGTGATATGCATAAGGAGATGTCTCATATACTTAACCTGTTGCAGTTAAGGAAGCTCATATGCACTCTTTGCATTTTAACTTCCGTTGCCTGTTACGAATTCTGTGACAATGTTTTTGCCTAAGAGGCTCTGTCAAAGACAATCGTTTGAGAAACCAGTGTGATCTAGTGAGGATATGAAAGATGCTTGTGCCCTCCCCAATCGGTAGATTCTTGACTGTAAAAGTTACTCCAAAAATGACTTCATCATTGGTCATGATCTTCTTTCTTCTCTTTTTTTCTGAGCAAAAACCTACTCTGGAATAGAATCTTTGTGCGATCCAGGGGCGCGATGGCCGTCTTGGCAGTGGCACCAGCCACTGCTCCTGCTGTGAGGGACACTATCACCTCCTTCCATGCTGCAGCTTGCTGTGAAGGAACAATGAAAGAAGACATTGGCCTGAAAATCTCACTAGTATGTGCCTGTATGCTGCGTCTTACTTCAAAAGTTCAAATACCGGCACTAGTGTTTGGGATGGGAAAATCCACAATGAGAAGGCCCATTCTTTCTTAACCCACTCTGGGACCTGAAGCATGATTATAAAGTTATGCAAATATCATGCAAATTAAGAATACTTCATTGATTTTAATTCAGTAAAAACTTATGATGCCTGTCACTTTCCAGATTGAAGTTTCAGGTTGGTGTATTGTTTAATGACAATACTGACTCTACTTGTAACACATCTTTCCTTCTTTCCAACTTTCAAGAGAAGCCTTTAACCATATTTAGCACTTGGAACAGTCAGTGCCAAGTTCCCCATTCTACAGTCCTACACCTCTGAGACACGGATATGAATTTACCACCATGGGTACAGTATACTAACTGATCTGTTTAAAGTTGATCTCAAAATGTGAAGGTTTCTCTCCGAAACATTTATCTGGGGTTTTCCTCCCCCTTCTGAAACGGATGACGTCATTGCCTCTCTCCTCTATACTTTCCTTTAGGCCTGCCAGTTAGAGTCAAATGGGGATGGTGGCTTTTGAAAAAAAAAAAAGCTTGACAAATGTCCATGTCATGCTTCAAATGACTTAGCTATTCAAGAGAATCATGATGGGGGAGGCAAGAGGGTCACAACGTACCCTCGGCCAGCAACCTACTCTCCCAAAAAAAAAGAGGAAAGGGAGGAAATGTCTCAAAACTAACCCTATCCAGTGTTGAAAGTCTGTCAATCTGCTACTGTTGAGTGGTTTGATCCCCTTTCAAAGAGCTAGTGACGCCAGTGAAACTATTCTATTACAAGCAACGGCAAACCTTCTCGGTTACCTTTGCAGCATGCTGCCCTTTGTCCGTCTTTTTGATGGAGATGTCGCAGAGATGATGGTGATCCTCCTGGATCCTCCTGATTGGGTGCTCCTCCTCTGAGCTTTCTATCATGGCCGACGTGGTGCTGTCATTGCAGTGCTTCAAATTGTGGCTTTCGGCAGACTTTGAAAAGCAGTGGGAAGATCTCATCCAACATTAGTGGGAGTCAATCATCATTTAGTCTGGAACTGTTGGATTGGAAACACTGACAGTAAACTGAACAAGAAAAGGCAGCAGATATTTGACCGGGTCGTGGTCCTGATGAGCTTTTGCTGTTGTATGGTCATGGCGACTGAATATGTGCAATCAATATTTTTGATCACTTAAACTTTACTGCAACAATTTTGTCTGGTTCCATACATGTGCTGACATTGTAAATTAGTGTTTAGAAGATGAAATCCAGAAGTCTCCATGCCCCTGTATTAAAAGTGCAACTGGACGAGTAGCAAAACAATACACATAACTCTCTCCAGGTAATTTAACTCCAACCTTGCCCGACCCTGAGAGCTATGAGAGCTCAAGCTTTCGGTAACTGGGTACCTTGGTCAGGGCAAGCAGGTTCAGTTCACTTGTATATATTTTTGTCAATATTCTAATCACAGTGCTACACAGCCCTTTCATATTTTAACTATGAGGTTTGTCATGTGCTCCACCACTCCCTAGTTCTAGGGGTACCTAAACTCCCGAGTAAATCTGACAGGAACAAGGACTGATACATGATTAAAGTCACTTATCTGACCATTTCTTTATTCTCACTCCGATTTAAACATGATGAAAATGTTGCTTATTCTGGTAGGCTCCTATTTGTTCCTATATACCTTATCGCTAATACCGCATGTGGGGGGTCGGAAGGGTGTTGTACAACAAGCAAGCGCACCCTGCGTTGAAACTATTCTCATTCAGTATTTGTGCAGCGATGGTGAGCACATCCTCACTGATCACAAAATGTTCATGTGGTTTTGAATGCAATCTGGGGGTGTCTATGCGTTTATATGTCCGTGGGCGGGCTTCGTCTATGTGCCATGTATGATATTCTTTTACGGAAAGAGTTCCATCAGTGATATGCACAACACTTATTTTTTCTTAAAATGTTATAACAGCCATCAGAAAGTGATGGAATGTCCCCAAAAGTGAAATTTAGCAGAGAAAATTCTGAAGCATTTACATGTACTTAGAAAATACTTGGACTTTTTTAAGACAAGTGGTAGGTTTGTGCCCAGGCATGACGGGGGAGGGGCATCAACATGATCAAGTGTTGTCCGCAGGCCTAGGCCTATATGAAACTCTTTCCTCTTTTGTTATAATTTCTCCAATCCTTAATCATTCCATTATTATTTCAAATCTTGTTTCCTCTCTTCAAAACCTTCACGACGGACGACGGTAAGAGGAGGCATACCTTGGCTCTTGTATATATGGTGATTGGCCTTTGCATGTTGCCAAGAAACAAAAAGGCCGAATTTGCATCATAATCACCAGCTTCACAATAGTCCCCACTTTGAAAAGAGGCAACGGGAATGTGGAAGCGTGAGTAGAGCCGCATGCCACCGAACAATGAGCCTTTTCACTGTGTAATTCAAAGCGTGCAGAGCACGCAGGGCCACAAACCGAGAATTTGCAGTTTGGTAGGTGGCGTTCGTGGCCAAGCGAGGCTGGAATTCTCAGAGTCGGCTTTCAGAAAAAAGTTCCCGTCGTCAAAGGGTTAACCTGAACACATCCACGTACATTAAGTCTACCGACTGCACTGCCAGCCGCTGTCATAGTCTTGCCCTAAGACTGGTTTTATTGCTTTGGCTGGTGCACCATGCATGATGGCGACATGCGCTGGCAAGCTAAATAGCTCTACCAGTAGAGGGCGCTATATTCACAAGAGACGACCTGCCAGAAAACCAGTCTTGTAGAATCAGGCAGGCTTACCCAAAAAATTCTGAGCATAGCTCATGTGCTCAAGTTCAAAAATAATTAATGCGCATACCCACTGCCAAAGACTGTGCGCCATGCCGAATGTAGTTTTAATTTCAGCAGTAACTGGTAGTGCACATGCAAGACATGAGCAACTGTTCATGGTAATTTGAGCGCGTGAGGTATGTTTGGAATTTTGGAAAAAAGTTGCATCCTGACTCCACTTCAGCAGTTGTGTACCAAGTCTATGGGGAGTGAAGAGAATTTTCTAAAGTAGGCCTAGGCCTATTTCCCAACAACATCGGTAAATGTTTCTCAGTCCAGAATTTGTGTCTTTTCCAGCATTTCTGTAATGACTAACTTTTTACAGAGATAATATATGACATATATGATGAGAAAAGTGGAGTCAGGATGCAACATTTTTCCAGATTTTTTTTCGGGTTTTCTACTATTTGGCTGTGCTCGCATGTCACCCGCACAGTGCACCGGCAAGTGAAACCAGTCTTGGGGCAAGACTAACGTTACTGCCGCAAGTCATGGCAGTCGCGCCCAATTACAATTACAATATCATCACCACGCCGCGCCAGCGTTAATAACTTGATTAGTGTAGTAACGACAAACACCCATTGATTGAAAAGAACGTAAATACCTGTTTCAATGGAGCATACAGCATAACTTTCAAAAAGGGGAACAGATATTGGATTTTTACTGACGATTTGAACGTCGAGAAAAGCAGCGTAACGACGCCTGCGGATAAGAGTCGAACTTCGAACAATTTACACGCACATGTATTGCATCATTAAGTGCCTCGCATTTGAAAGGAGACGGACAACAAGACTTGGCTCTTTGCAGGGCTTTGGCATTGTGGCAGTGTATTACAAATTACTTGATGGTCTGAGAACGAGATTGCCCAGCGAATAGTCTGGATCCATTAGCGCTATTTTGTTCTGCAGAACTAACGCAACGAGCTCGATCGGACTTCTGTGCACTACGTAAAAATGGTCAGGATAATGTCGACTTATGCTTTTAATTTCACTAGGTTTATATTAATGTTTTGCTTGAGAACATCGTTTTAAATGTTTGGATAATCGCATTTCGTTTTTATCATTTTTTTTCTTCAGGCCCATTTCTTCACACAGAAGCAAATTGACGGTAGGTGTGGCCTGCGTTAACACCATTGAAGTGAAGTGACCTGTGTGAACAATTGCAAAGGAATGTGCATGCTCTATTGTCAGATTGTATTTAGAGGGCGTGCAAGTTTTAAACCACGCCCTTATCATTTTGATAATTCATTTTTTTCCACCATTTTTAATATTTGAGTCAGGGCTAATTCCTTGTTTAGCAAACTGTGGGGCACGTGGGGAAGCTAAATGTAGGCCTAACCATTTTTTATGTTCTCAGATGAAACAAACTAACCACAGTCGGACAGTCATGACAATAGGGCCTCCATAAAGTTTTCCATTTCACTTTTGAAAATACAAATTAGCTATTTTGAAAAGCTGATTGACTTCTAAACATGTAACTCATTAACTGATTGTTACGATTAGCTTGTTATGTGAAATGTTACAATATAGTCCAGAACCCTAAAAGATATTAGTGTTCACACATCTGTCATGTTTATAAGATTAGCATGTCTAGCGTTTAATAAAGGGAGAAACTTTGTCTGTAATTACAAGTAGCTGCTTCTCATTAGTGAATTGTTTTCATAGTTAGTGGAGAGTCATGAAAGTGGCTTCTCATCAACACATTGATAACGAAGTACAGTCGAACCTTGTTAATAAGAGATCCTTCAGACTTATTAAAGTCAAATTACCTGGTTGTAACACCAACCTTGTATTATCAGGAATAAAAGCAAAGGATTGGGACCTCAAAATGTTCTTGTTATAAGCAGAATCTTGTATTAACAGTGCTCTTATTAATGAGGTTCGACTGCAGTGGCTTAAGGCTTGGTGATTTTTTTTCGAATGAACGAAGAATGACAGAGAGGATTAACAAATTGATTGATTCCATGTGAGATTACTGACTAGTATGTTTGCTTGCTATTTTATTCATTTAAATCCATTATTTTTTTTCCTGATTAGCCAAATGCAATAAATTGCAATAACATTCTGTGACATATTTGTGACCGGCTCTAGAAAAATGGGTAATAAGTTGCCAGATTCCGGTTATGAGTTTTGATACGGCTGGATTCTGTACATCACAAGCTACAATTTGATATATGAATGACCCCTGTACTGCGGTGCGTTCCGGAGATAGACATTTGTATATCCACAGTTTCGGATTCAATAAAAGCACTTTTCAAGAAAAAACTCATTAAGTGTAACGTTTGGAAACACAATGCTTAGTAGGATTTCCTACTGAATGACCAATTTGTCATCTTTATTCATCAGTATCCATTTTTGTAGTCTCAAATTCTGAAAATATAAATATTATAGAAGCTATTAAATGAAAACACACAAAAAACACATTTTTGGAGAAATTTTGCCTTCTCCAAATGGAACAGGCCATTACATGTTTTGGCATTGCGCGACATATTATCCTTTTTTGTAGAGCAGGTCACATTTGTCTCCAACAAAGTTAACTGAAACTTCACAAATAAAACAAAAAGTATATTATCTCCTGTTGTGACAGAATACAAGGAATGCTTCCTGCTGTATGACCGCTCCAGGAAGGGGTACATCAGGGGAGATGACCTTGTTGTGGCCATGAGGTCGCTTGACGCACATCCTACTGTGGATGAGATCAAGCAGTACCGCAAGGAGTATGAACATGGTGAGAATGCCCTGGGGACCTCTCTGTCTGCATCCCGTTGCTGAAGCTGAACGATAACTGTCAGATGAATGTTTCATAACTCAGCCCTCTAAATCTAGTTCTCCTAGTAGTCACAGCGCTCCACTGCAGTGGCTTGCGTACCAAATATTTGTCATGGGGAGGGGAAGGGCTCGGACCAGAATTTATCCCCCCACAAAGCTTGTGTTGGTCATGTCCTCCTCCGTTGTACCACAGGGGGCTCAGATCTACTGCTTTATCAGAGCTAGTGGTAAAAGGTGTACCTTCATTTTTCAGAAAGTAGAACCAAAAAAATTGGAAACCTAGGGTTGGATCCCCATCTGGACGTGTCACTGTAACACTTAGACTAGAGAGTCCCAATTGTTTTTTTGAAAACAATTTTGAATTTTTTGAATTGCAACAGAAATAACGACAGTTACGACTCATTTTTAGAATTGAAAACATACTTACTCAGCGTTGTCCACCTTCGCCAGGTGGGAAGGTCAAGTTTGATGACTTTCTACAAATCATGTACAAGCACCAGGAGGACCCGCTGAAGGAGATCCTGGAGGCATTTAGGGTGTCCGACCCCCAGGATCGCGGCTTCATCATGGCCAACGAGTTCCGACACATCATGACGCGCTTCGGGGAGAGGCTAACGGACAAGGAAGGTGGGTGTTATGTGGTTGGTTGCGTTACCTGCTTGTGCTACAGAAACTCTGGATAAAACTGAGGGGGGGGCTAGCCATACCTATGGTAAATGACGTAAAGTGTTGTAAAGGGGGCCAGTTATGTTCCCACATTTTCCAAAAACCATGCTGTCATGACTTTTGTCTAGTCCTTCAACCTCCTGCAACATGTTGTATTGGAGGAAACTGCTTACACATTTTGGACAAATAAAGTGTCTATGATGATGGCATTCCAGTTCAAAAGTTAATGATTAAGTAAGGAATAGAGGATTTAATCCTGATGTATATGCAGAAAAATGAAAGTGGGAAAAAGAAAGTTGTTATTTTTATTTTATAGTAAGTTTATTTACAGAGATGTTATGCTTTGAGTGGAACTTTGGTTCACTTCCAGTAATTTGATATCTTTGTGTTCGATTCATTCCCCATAGTGGATGCTGTGCTCAGAGAGTTTGGTGTACAGAAGACTGGCTTTGTAAAGTACAAGGAGATCACCAAACAAGTCCTGAGACCGATACCAGACACATTATCATAAAATGTTATCTGCTGTAGATTTCTGTTAAGAGTTCAGCATTAGTATACATGCATAGTTCATAGATTTTCGTTTAAGCCACAACTTTGGGAGCCCGTTATAAAATATGGTGCCTCGGTTTAGCTGAACAAGCTAAATTTTAAAGGAACTGTGCAGACAGAAGTAGTTTTTTAGGGGAAGGATGGAATGTATGGTCTACCCCTGCGCCGTTATGATTAGTCAACCATCAGAAGAAATGAACTGATCATGTATTTAGGTAATTTAGACTTTGAGACCTTGTCTCCTGTTGTCTTTTTGCTTATTTCTACAAAGCTCCTGCCTTTGCCATTTTGTGCACTTTGCACATTTGGCTGAGATGCGTCAGCTGCCTGGCCTTGTGATTAAAAAGGTTCTGTACAAAAGTTGGAAACTTACGTACACTTTTTTAAAAAAGGGAAAACCAGAACACTTGGTGACATTTGTCTTACATGTGACAAAAGGAAACCATAGAATCTTTCAACCCCAAGAAAGTGGCAATTATCCGCACACAAAACAACTTAGCAGATTGATTTAAAAGAAAATCTCATTGTATGGTGGTACTTTCTCTGGTTTTACGTTCAGCAGGATATCTTGTTGGAAGCATTTCAGGTTGTTTGAGTGAAACGTTGGTACTTATATTGTGGGCAGTGCTGTTTCATAATAATGGTATAATTTCAGTTATTTAACATTTTCTAGGCTACAATACTGAACTCCATGTAAGTGAAACAGAAGCAATGTCTTAGATGGCAGGCCTCATGTTGTACAAGAGATAGGGTGTTTTTTTTTAAATTGAACGTGGAATATGGGATTTACATGAATATGTGATTTACATGTACATGTACAGGGCACCACCCAAGTGGTGTTA